CAGACTCTCAGTCCTCGCAGTTTGGGGGATAGCTATGTAATCTCCATGCCGTGTTGGGGTAGAGTTATCTAATCTCCACGCAGTGTTGGGGGATAGTTATCTAATCATCACTTAATGTTCCATGTACATCTGTGGAGTGATGAGGCCCGAGCCTAGACGCCAAACTCACTATATGCTGCTTATAATAAACATATTAAGAAACACGTGAGTTGTCTGACTCAAATGGGGCGAAGCCTGCGAGCTAGTTCAGGTGACGCACCTCGTCCCTCTTACAACCAACCAAACGCATTCTCCTAAACATGCCGCTCTATTTAAGTTGCCAGGTCTTCCTGCCTCTGCCTCGCTATGCTGCTGCTGCCACTGCTGTGTTCACTTGCTATTGCTACGTTCATATTCCTGCTGCTGTGTTTCAAGTTGCTGCTGCTTGCATGCCCCACCACTACCCCAGCTCCACCCCAGCTTGCACCTGTAGGCTCGGGGGATAGTTATCTAATCATCACTCAATGTTCTATGTGCATCTGTGGAGTGATGAGGCCCGAGCCTAGACGCCAAACTCAAACTATATGCTGCTTATAATTAACATATTAAGAAACACGTGAGTTGTCTGACTGAAATGTATTATATAATGCAAACATTGCCATATGTTGCAGATTATGTAAACCTTTGACCAAGCTACAGTATTTAGCCTATACTGAAGAACTGTACTTGATTTACATGTGAATATAATGGGTGGTAAATATTCCATTCCCCTATACTGTACCTGCTATGTTCTGAGGACCATTAAGACAAAAAGTGAACAAAAAATTAAGAATAAAAGGGTTGCGCATTTAATTAAACTTTTATGATTGTAAGTTTCATAAGGTTTTTAGTGCATTGAACAACTTGAAAGGACATGAAGGAAATATGAGAGCTGGTTGGTTCATCCCGCAAAAAAAGTGTCAGTTGTAGAAAAAAACAACAAAAAGGTTGCAAAGTGATTCTGCTGAAGTCATGAATTATGAAAGGTGCAGCGAACTCTGGTTCAAACGCTGAGCTGAAGTGAAATGGCCCCTTGCATCTTTAAAATGATCTAACTGTCACACACAGCAACGTTAAGATAGCATTACTTCTCCCTTTGTTTCGAGAGCGCTGCTCAACATGCATAAAGACATTCAGAATGAGCAACTCGTATAAACATGGCAGGTGTGTCGATATGATAAAATATATTATGAAACAATATACATTTTTCCACAGGCAGAGATTTTGTCATTCTGTTTATACCCTGGTAGCTTTCCCTTTGAAAAGCTTTTAGTTGACAGAATTGCTCTTTAATATATTTTTTTAAATGATTTTTACATTTATGTAATCAGGCATAATGACCTATAATGTACTTAATTTGCCAGATTAGCTCACATACATTTTCTGTGGGTTATAACATTTCATCCTTTGACTATATCATACATTTCACAAAGATGTAAAGAATAAATAATATATACACTTCTGGATTTTTGCCTTTATCAAGTCTTTTAGTCTTGTGATAATAGGTAATAATTATATAGATATATATATTGAAGTAATATATTGAAATCTAAACCTCTTTATCAAAATTAATTCAACTCAAAATATAAAGCATGTATGTTAAACAATGTGTGTGCTGATTGACCAAATGCGTATGCAGATCAACACGTGTGTACAGATTATAAAACACTTAATAAGAGTACCGCTGTAATTCATTTTTGTCAACCAGACTTGCAGTGCATCACTAGGCTAATTGATGTTTGATGAATTGATGATATTTTTTTAATTCTGTGTGATAGTATCAAGACATACATATGCTGTTGTGAGAAAATTAGGAATAGATGTTCACACAGTGTTAGGAGATGAATGATTTTTTTTAAAGGATTGTGCCAAAGCAACTGTTAATGCTGGCCAATCTGGATAATTACACGCAAATCTTACTTGATTTTTTCACAATGAGTGTTTTTCTGGTGTTTCCATTGTGAATGATTTCAGTGAATGGACAATGCTGTTTTCTGTCAGTCATCTGACACCCACCAAGAAATCAGGAAGTTATCTTTCAAAACATGCTGCCATGCACGTATTATTGTTACATATATGTCCTCTTTGTTTAGCATTTAAATGGCAGCTAAACCAGAATAATTGAAGAATTGCAAATTGCATAATTGGTTTGGCTACGACCCTTTGTTTTTTAAATGGATGTTTGTTTGTAATCTAGCAAATCTGTACTGATGCTTACCACCATGAATGATGTCATCATTGTTTGGCAAATGTTGTGTTGTGCATTTTCTGCAGCAGCAACATCTGTTGGACAATAAGCGTTTGTGTGTGTGCATGTGTGATTATGTCTGTGTTCAGATATGTTATGTGGTCAGTCATGGCTTACACCATCAGGTGAGTTAAACTGACCATAAATACTTAAGTCATTACATCATCATTGTGAAATAGGCTTTGGATTTGTTTCTACTCTAACTGCCATGTCTTTGTGTCGATTTGTTTACTTTTTAAAGGAAGATAATACCTGATTGCTTGTCCTGAACACTCATGAAAACGAATGTCAGTGTAGATCAATACGTCAAGGCATGCCTGTTCAATAAGTCCAGTAGAAGGCACACATGTGAAAAAAAATAAAGCACATTATCCAGTCAGTTGTGTCATTTGAAAAATATATTACAACTCAAGAGACAGTTCTGCTGAATTTTAGTCACAAATCTATGGGATAATTAAATTGAATTTCTTCTCTGTCACACAAATACGAGTATAAATCAATTCTTATAAACATATTTTGTCAGATAGTGTTGTAGGTGATGAGAGGAAAATCACAAACCATGATTAATATCAGTGTTATAAATACATTGCACTCTTTAGAAATTATGATTACCCTGCTGTATCCTTGAGAGTGAATCAATACATCGAGTTCATACATTGGTACGGTGGCGGCTGGTGGAAAATATATTTAAAAAATTGAGAAAAGACCCCTTAAATTATGACTTCTGATGATGTTAGAGGGGG